TCTTGGTGCCAACTGTGAATAACAAGACACCTGAAATGTTGTGCAGTTAAAAACAAAATGCTCGTGTTAACAATCTTTGATCAACTTTCTTTATACTTCTTGGTGCCAACTGTGAATAACAAGACACCTGACCATGCTGAATTTGAGAAATACAGGAAGGTCATTGGGAAAAAGGGCTAAAGAACGTCAAACTGTGCATAATGTTAAAAAATTATTTTCACCATCTCCTGTGGTTAATTCAAATTTTTATGCTAATGCTGAATATTCAAAACTTTCTAACCATCTGCTTTGAACCATTTTTTTTTCTCTCTTCCTAATCAGAAGATATCCAAATCTGTTTCTGAGGGTTGAACCACTTGTGACAAAAGCACCCAAATTAATTTCTGTCGTCTTCATAGATATTCAACTCTCTATAGAATTTTAAGGAAATTATCAATTCATATACTTAAATTGACAAACGTTCTAAACACATTACACTAATTTTATTCATTGTATAAGAAAGTTGTGTTAGATTTTACCGACGATCTCCGAATGTGTTTCATGTGTGTGTTAGAAAGTTGTTAGATTTTTACCGACGATCTCCGAATGTGTTTCATGTGTGTGTGTTAGAAAGTTGTTAGATTTTACCGACGATCTCCGAATGTGTTTCATGTGTGTGTTAGAAAGTTGTTAGATTTTTACCGACGATCTCCGAATGTGTTTCATGTGTGTGTAAGAAAGTTGTTAGATTTTACCGACGATCTCGAATGTGTTTCATGCGTGTGTAAGAAAGTTATTAGATTTTACCGACGATCTCCGAATGTGTTTCATGTGTGTGTAAGAAAGTTGTTAGATTTTACCGACGATCTCCGAATGTGTTTCATGTGATAACACGAGCAGAGAAAATGTCCAAAAGTGTCTGTACCAGTAATTACCCCCCCCCCCAGTGGAACAGCGGTATGTCTGCGCACTTACACTGCTAGAAACCGGGTTTCGATACCCGTGGTGAGCAGAGCACAGATAACCCATTGTGTAGCTTTGTACTTAACAAACAAATAAATCAGTAACTCATCCTCACAACACGAACGCGTGAATTACCACCAGTGGAATCGTTTCCTCTTCCATCAGAACGGAAGAGGAAGTATAACCATAATATCCTTGGAATAGAGCACATCCTCACAACACGAACGCGTGAATTACCACCAGTGGAATCGTTTCCTCTTCTATCAGAACGGAAGAGGAAGTATAACCATAATATCCTTGGAATAGAGCAAGATGAACAAGTAAGTGAGAATTCCCAGAGTAAAAAGTAAGTAGAAAATATTAAATACTTAGTTAGGTTTTGGTGATCGGATCTCAACACAACTTGCATTCAACATGAAAATGTATACTATCAATGACAACAAGGTTTTCACCAGCACTTAGGAACCACCACATGGAAAATGTCGAAGATAACGCCTTCAAAATAGCCGCTCTAAGACCTAGAATTTGACTCAGAAATGTTGACGATATATTTGTAACGTGAGCACATGCATATTTCAGAGGGAAAAATCACAATTCATGAATTATCTGAATAGACAAAATTCAGTGATACAATTTACAATGGAAATGTAAAAAAGATAATAAGCTCTCATACTTAGACATGATGGTAAAAAGATACCCAACGCTACCACAAGAGTTTACACGAAACCCTCGTATATTGGTATATACACCAGGAGGCTATGAAAAAGAAGAAAAATACATCACTACAACCCTCATTAACAATAGATAATCGAAATACTTTATAAAGAATATGACTACCAGTAATAAGAGAGAAAAAATACAAACCGCGTAAAGTAAGTAAAATATTTAGAGACTACAATACAACACGATTACAGTTTGTTTGTAGTTAGTTAAGCACAACGCTACACAATAGATTATCTGTGCTCTACCCACCACGAGTATCGAAACCCGGTTTCTAGCAATGTAAGTCCCCAGACATGCCGCTGTGCCACTGGAGAGTGGGGGTGAAAAAAGGAATATGGATATACTTGAGGCACCACGGCCGACTAGAAAGAGTCTAGAAATAAGTTGTACTCTAGCCATTGTAAGCAAAGTTTGGTATCTTGTAACAGATACAGATGAGAAACAGCAAGTACAAAGGGCAGTTGAAGAAGTCGTCCACATGTAAAGTAATATGAAAAGCTAAAGTACAATAATTCTTCTAATATTAAAGATCAGTCTTCACACTTGTCGATGAAGAAGTCATCACTCATCACTCTCCGCTAAAAATATTGGAGTGATTACATTTCACAACATCGTCAGATCAACGTCTTAATGGTTAATTTCACGAACCCTTGAGGTGGTATAGTATTATGAAAGAACTTGTTCCGTGTATTTCATTCTACAACATAGACTGTAATAATAATTCTATAGCAGAAAATATTACGAATCACTTAAATGGTCATCGCCTCATTTCCTAGATCAATGGTGGATCTACATATTATGCCCACTAACAAGAATATGAAAATACACCAAATAAGGTTTCTAAATTTATCCATAGCTATATTAAGAGTAAACAACTGTTTTAATGAAAGAAAAGTCCTTAGATATATCCGAAATTCAAAGAAAAATGCCACGAAACGAAAAACTCGGGATATTAAACCAAAAAAAAAGGAACTGGAGTTTATGGTCCAAAATACTCCATCTCGTGTATATATGCAATAACTAAATTATCAATTTGATAGACCTAACTTTTCACAGTGGTCTATGGGCTGTAAAGAGGACATAAAGAAGACTTAGGCAAAGTTCTCAGATGCGCCCAGTCGTTTCGTTTTTTTTTCTTCATATATTTGTTACCGTTGTTTGATTCGCCAGAAGATGATAGATAGCCATTTCTTTTTCATCAGATGTTTGTTACTGGAGATAATTATTTTATTAGATTACATATTAAGTAATACGTCCACAAGAAAGTAACGAAACTTAATTTGTTAGAAAATTAATATTTTCTCTTCTTCTAAGCATCTGCAATATTTTGTAAAATTCTTTTTGGGGTTTTTTTTTGGAGATATTAACTACTGTTCACCTCATTAATTCAAAATAATTTTAACATTCTGTTTGTGCAATAATTGCTTATACATTTTATTAAATAGGCATAGACCGGTACACAAACCTACTTATCACAACCGATCTGGTGACTGAAAGAGAACAAGAGGAATAAATGTTCCAGTTTATTACAGAAGGTGGTCATTATTTGAATTTATCGGTATTTTATAAAGTACCAGTTTTATGGCATCATGGCATTTCTGTTTATTTTGACAAGTGACCTTAAATTATGCAGATACGCTCTTGACCCATATAGAACACAAACAAAGAAAACAATTTTCTGAAGGGTCGTGAGTGGATCTTATGAAATAATTCAAGGGTTTTTTGTGACTTTAAGGTTTGATTGAGCCGTTTTACTTGTAAAATGACATTAAGATGTACAGAGACGTTCAAAACGATAAATTTTGACTTTTAAATTTTAAGATTGGAATTCCTTCATCAGAGTCAAATGGGTTTCAGGGGTTGTCAGAACTGGATCCATGGCTTTATATGAAAATTAACATGGACATGTAAATGTCATACAAAATCTACATTTCTTTTTCTAAATTTTCTCATTAAGACCCCAAATGAAAGATCAAGAGGTTTTGGGGGTTTTCAGAATTGTCTACAGTGATGTAATTAAAACTTGTATGAACATAAAAGGGAATGTTCAAAATAAGTATTTTCGTTTAGATTTTTTTGATATTTTCGTGTTGTGACTCTCTTTTGTTTGCACACAACAACAACATTCTCTGCGAACAAAATGTAAACTCTATTCACTCTATTAACCTAAAATTGGTGTCAAAAAATATAGTTTTTCTATGTATTTCAATGGGGTACTTAATACATGATTTGAATATTAACCATGGTAACCGATCTTGTAAGTTCTCCTTTTATCGAATTCCATAGGTCCCCCGGTGGGACAGTGGTACGCTTACGGTCTTAGAAAACTAAAATCTGGAGTTCGATTCCCCGCGGTGGACGCAGCAGGCAGCCCAATGGAGTTTTGCTCTAAGACTAATATTTCGAAACTATTATGACTACACTTTAATCTTTTAACAATATTTTCTTCCATTTAATCTATAATAATAACAGAGCATGTCAGTGTGTGTGCGTGTGACCGCCACAGCTCCAAGAGGAAAGAACCTAGAGACCTGAAACTTTGCACGCATACTAAGAAGATTCCGAGAGTGTGCACCTGTGTATTATTTTTTAGGTTTGACTTAAAAACTTTTGGCCAATTTTTGCCCTTAAGCCCCATAATTCTGCTTCCTAAAGGTCTATAGAAAAGTATCATATTTTTCTTGTAATTCTCAATTACTGAATGACCAATATGCGGGGGTTTTCTGCCAATTACTGTTGAATGACTGGTGTTGGCTGGGGACTTTCAACTAACATCGCCAATCATTCTACGTGGAACCAAAGCAGATAAACTGTAGGACTACCTCGAAGCTTCATATACATTTGGAACAACATTCAGAGACTTAGCCTAACAACCAACATGCGAGTGCATTTGATACGTGATGCATCTGCTGGAGAATTTGCTGGAATTCTACTCGAACTGAGAAAATGGATTAATGGCAGGTGAAAATCTAGATGGAATGGTCTCCATGGAAATGATTGGTAAAATAGTCACAACACTTTACGAGCTGAAAGAAGCAATTTTTCCAAAGGTAGGTTATCATTTCCATTATCACAAGTGGTTGTATAAAAAAGCCACTCTGGCGACAAAGAATGATGCAGTCAATACCACAAACAGAGATCTTCTCTCTCAGTTGCCTGGCCAAGTGCAAAAGTACAAGTCAGTAGACACTGTTTCAGACACCAATGAGGCTGTCAATTACCCAACAGGATTCCATAATTCTCTGGAACCACCAGGTGTGACACCAAACAATCTGGAGATCAAGAATGGTGCACCTATCATGTTTCTCAGGAATCTGGAACCACCAACACTCTGCAATGAAACACGTTTGGCTGCCAAGAAGCTGATGCCACATGTCATGAAAGCTAAAATTATGACTGGTCATGCTACAGGACAGTATTTCTTCATTTCACGCATTTCAATCATCCCACCTGACCTTCAATTTCAATTCAAGCACTTCCAGTTCCCTGTTCGACTCAGCTTTACCATGAGTATAAAAAAACACAGGGGCAATCACTTAAGGTTGTTGGTCTCAACCTGCAAAGCCCATGTTTTTCTCACGACGAGCTTTATGTTGGTTACTCCAGGGTTTGTGATGGCAAGAACGTTTTCACCTTGGCACCAGATGGGAAAACAACCAACACTGTCTATCCTGAGGCACTACAAGGACAAAAACGTGGCAAAACACTGTTATAAGAAGTGGTAAAATTATGTGATGTGAAATTCTCAATACAATCATAAATATTAAGATATAAATAAATAATTCTTAACTTACAGTAAGGATATTTTCTTATACAATAAAATTGATTTCTTCTATAAATTTCTGGGAAAAACAAAATTTTTTGGAAATATTTTTCGCTGTATCTCGTATCTAAAATTGGTTCAAAATACATACACACATACACAGTCGACCAGTAAAAATATCAACCTAATAACCCGAGCGAAGCCAGGTAATTTGGCTAATAATAAACAATTTTAGCACGTTGCAAGACCGATAGTTTGTCTTTCAACAACTCTTCAAGTTTTATAATATATAATAATAGTTTTTTATTTGCTTTACCTTCTGTGCTTTTCCACTGCCAACTCTATAACTAGACAGTAGCATGTGCCAGAAAACATTTATCCAAAGTTTTTCTTTCGGGATCAAGAAAATGGATTTCATTGTTAGACAGGATTGTTGAGAAATATTATTTTATCTTTGTATCAATTTATAAGGAATTAATGGCATATCGACATAACTCTTTGTGTAAGCGATTAATATTATTTTACTTCTAATTATTAAACCCTTTTGTATCTTCGATCGGTTTTTGCTGTCGTTCGTTGTGCACCACAGCAAATCAATGAATATTTTTGATTCATATTTTGAGTATTGGTTAGCAGTGTGAATCTTAGGAGCAAACAACTGTCTGTTATGTGTTTTGGAATAATTACGTAGTACTTGTATTTCTTTAAAGTTAGCTTCAACAAAATTATTGTTGTTTATTATTTAATTTTGCATTTATGAAAATTATTTTGCACTATCACTTGAGTATACAGATTTAAGACTAATCTAAAGCTCCAACGCTGGTTGACGATTTGCATGAGATATTATTGGGATATCGAGAGTATCCAACTGATGAATCACTAAGCTGTAATAATTATAGGCTTAAGTTTTCTTGTGAATTATTTATGACATTATGCATTTCTAATCAGTTTATTGCATAAGATTAACTTCATTAATTTATTGATTTGTTTAGTTTGTATCTATATAGTTAACTTACATTTGCCATATTAATAATTAGTATTCTAGTAATGCATCTTTGATAGAAATAAGTTCAGTATCAATTTAAGAAGTTTCTCTCAAGATGGTGCTTCTAATTTTCTTCGGTTTAATACTCCTTACTTCGTCCTGAATAACGTCAGTGAACTTATTACATGGTAGTAAATCCACGTTTTCCTGGAACACCTCCAGGACTGCAAGAGGAATTTCACAACTTCAACAAACTCTGTAAGGGGCTCCTCCTATCACTTACATTATACTCCTGATCTTGTTTCAAATGATTCAAAACACGTTTGAAATCAGCAGTCGGTAATATTTAATAGACTTTGATTCCTTCCATCTAGTATGACCGAACTTTTTGGTGGCGTAAAATGGTGGATGAATTGTTGTTTAATATTCCAAAAATTCGCATTGGAGATAAACTTAAATTAAGCCTAATATGAGTTCCATTGAACTTTGGAATGATAATCTAATGATTTTCCCGCGGACTTGCTAACGTTGCCCCCAACAAAATTTGTATTTTGCTTCTTTAACAACACATATAATATATTTTCACATTAAATGTATCAGCTAGTCTTCTATGCATTTAAATTCGTCTCTGAATTGTTAGTATTTTCCCATCGTGAATTTTAAGTAACACTTTTTTTCCCCACAACTGTCGACATTTCTGGTAACTAACTTGTTGAGAAATATTTTTTTATTAGTATTCATTCTCCATAAAAGTGTTTAAAAGTTCAGATTCTTCTGAAATACTTTTGACTAATGAAACTTAAATACAATGAGTTATAAGACTAGTAACTCGCTGAACATTTACTGGACTATCTTAGCACTAAAACAGTAACTTATTATTCGAGAAGAGACGAGAAACACTTTTCTTATTCTATGAAAGTAATTGCTCGACAATTCCAGCGTTATTAATTTCAACTAATCCAATAGAAAAATATAATCACAAAACACGCGACCACGCTTATTTTACGGGTCATTATTGCCAAAACAATATAAGATTATCAAAATAACCTCGGAGTAATTTTTATTGTTATTATATAATACACTATTTCATGATAATACTCTTAGTGGCAAATTCTTGTTACAGTACTTTGCTGTTACTGATGTAATTATCCTGATTTGTCACTGAAATAATTACTTTATTATTGCTGTAACATACAATAACTGACTTACGTTCGTAACTCAATGCTTACACAGACTTAATATTTAAGTCCATAGTTTTGTTGGTAATGTGCAACAAGGTACAATAGTCAAGTAGCTTTGGCGCCACAACTATTGCGCCAGACGTTTTTAAGTAATGTTATTACTGACAGAGCTGTTATATCTGTGTGGTATTAAGGTATATTATGGACTTCCTATTTACTGTAGTGATATATAACTATTTCACATTTTCGGTTATTTACTTTCTGCCCTGTTATGGCGGCTAAATGTGATCTAGAAAAGTTCGTTAACTTTATGCTGTTCTTATTTACTTCTCTTGTCTCTTCTCATAGGAAAGACGTATACTTGGCTCACAGGAATGTACCAGCATAGGATTAGATATCCGGATTAAACCGGCTTATCTTAGAACCTCCTTTGCTGGGCAACTATAACGTTTGGCCGAGGGTGTGGGGGCAGCCGACTAATGCTGTCCGAGAACAGGAACTCACGAGATAACGCTGTCCCTTGGACAAAGAAAGCTAGCTTCCATTCTAAAATCAAGCGTATTTTCTCAGTTCAGTTTTCCACTAGATGATCTACCAAGAAGACTTACTTTCGAGATCAACGTGTGTGGGTCCAACAGAAGTCTATCTTGCGAGAGAGAAAGCTGCAGGGCTAAACACTAACTAGCAAGAAAGAACTAGTCACACTAACTGGCGGGAAGGAATTGTTCACATGGTCACACTAACTGGCGGGAAGGAATTGTTCACATGGTCACACTAACTGG